ACTCTTTCCAATGTGCTGCTTGCCATCCTGGCCTATGTATTTTCCTAGAGATTACTGCTTGCTTCAAACACACAGACGCAACCTCATGGTCAGTTGCTGGGAGGGTGGTTTCCGATGCTGTCCCCACAGGATGCATCTGACAGGCATGTTCTCAGCCTGAGGAGAGCCTCCTTTAGTCCATCACCTGCACATGACTGTCTTGAAGCCCGTGGAGATCATTCTCTATACAGGTCTAAGGCACCTGAGCCCCACCCCCACAACAGAATCAGGGATTTCTTAGAGATGGGAAGGGGCAGAAAGGTAAAGAGTTGTGGAAATCTCTTGGAACACCATAAGCCTATGCTGCTTTGCCCTGAGCAGGGGAAACCCAAACCTTGCTTGAGCGCTCAGACAACATGAGGCTTTCCCGGCACTGTGTCTAGACATGGAGATGCCCACACTTCATTGTGCAGGGGGTTTGCAGCATAGTTGGGGCCAGCCCAGACAAGGGAAACAGCCCCCTGCTTCTCACAAGTAGTGCTTTCTGTCCCAAACCCTCAGTCTCAAGTGCTGGGACACCATATGCTGACAGGCAAGAAAGGGGGAAAATGTCCCTCTTAAAACACAGACAAATGGAGCAAGAAGATGCTTCTGCAGATGGAAACGCAGGAAAGGAGGGCTTGAGCTGAACTTGCCCTTGATTTAGGCAGCCCTCAACCCCTCCACGGGCCATCCCACAGAATTTGACATGCCGACAGGCTGCCAGCCTTTCTGGGATCCTCCATAGGTAGTGTCCTCCAAGGGCATGTTCCTTAGCAGAGGCCTTGAGGAATGAGCCCTGAGTACTGTGAGGTTGGCTGTAGGTCAGTCAGCACTCCAAAATTGCTGGGAGTCTTTATCAGGGCTTCTCTCCTCGTATCTAAAAGACCAAAGAAAGACCTTGGAATGTCATCCAGCAATGAAGGACTTTGGTCAAGGTCCTAAAAAATGATGCCTCAGAGCTTATCTCCACAGCTGGCAATGCATCGTTATGCAAATCCTGTTAGGAGCAGATTACCCATGTATCAGAGAGTTGCATCACATCATAGTACCACCGAATGGCTTGGGCTGGAAGGGACCTTAAAGATAATTTCATTCCAAGCCTCCTGGCCATGATCCCCAGGGGAAGGGACACCTTCCACTGAACCAGGTTGCTCAGAGCTTGATCCAACCCAGCCTTAAACACTTCCAGGGATGGGGCATCCATAACTTCTCTGGGCAACCTGTGTCAGTGACTCACCACCCTCTCAGTGAAGGGCAACATAGGGTTGCCCTGTGCTGGACTTGATGACCTTAAAGGTCTTTTCCAGCTTAAATGATTCTATGGTTCTGGTTTGAGGAAACCAAGGAGATGGAAGGTGACCCCTCCCCATCTCTCTCCTCTTACAGATATCACGGCTGCCGCACTGGCCACAGGCGCCTGCATTGTAGGCATCCTCTGCCTGCCCCTCATCCTGCTCCTGATCTACAAGCAGAGACAAGCTGTCACCAGCAGACGTATGTACCAGGGACACCCATCTCATCTCCTGGGCTGCATCAGCATGGCAAGGATGGGATTGGATGTGTCCTGCTGGGGTCAGCTGATTTGGCTGCCCTGAGTCCCATGGGCATGGTATAAAGTGGCTCAAAGACAGGGCCTTGCCAGCTGCCTCCTGCAAAGCTGTCCTGGGTAGGGACATGCATGCCTGCAGGCTGCTGGTGAGGAGTGTGCTGGGAGGACTGAGACTATAAAGATGCTGCCTGCCTGCTGAGCCCTTTCCTCCCCATCCACTGTGAGATCTGTCTTGTTTACTCATCCCTCCCTCTACCACACACCTGAAATAGAAGCTTTGCCTTCTAAGTGATTGGAAAAGCATTAATTGTGCTTTTTCTCCCCACCCTCTTTAATAAGATTCCTGACATGTCTATGGCAATAAGACTGAAGCAAGTCAGGTCTCCCCTCTGCTGCCCCAGCCCTGGAATACCAGGCAGTGCCGAGGTGCAGCTGGCTGCCAGCTCCTGCCCGTGCTTGGCTCCCAGAGATTTCAGTAATTAAGCGGAAAGGGGCACCACCTTAACTGGCAGAGCCATTTCATCAGCCCTTGGGCAAGCCGGGGCCCTGCGGTTTCCCTCATGCAGCTCCGTGGGTGGCTGTGTGGCTCCGAGCAAATTCTCTGGAGAAGTGGTTTCCGCAGCAGCAGCAGGCACGATGCCACCACAAGAATGGGAACTGCACTTTCGACATCCACCCCCGGCCCAGAATCCTGTCCACGTGCCTTCATGCACCCATTTATCTCTGACTAGGGTGCAGCTCCCACCTCCATTCTGCAAAGCATCACCTAGATGTTATTTCGCAGAGGCAGAGGATTTTTCCAGGGGGATGTGCTTCTCAAGTATCCACCCAGCGCTTTTCTTTGGCCCACTTTGGGCCAAAACTTGAGCACCTTGGGTTGGGATGCTTTGCCGTACAGGCATCCAGCACAGCCCAGTAACACAGGCTGTATGATCTGCTGTGACAAAGGGGATGAGGAAATATGTAACAGGAGCAGCCAAATGCCAGGCACTGTTTTGCAGAGCCCTGGGACGGTGTCACAGGTGGGTGGTGGGTGCATCTGGGCTGGGCTGCAGCTGAGGCATCACAGCTACTCCTTGCCACACCCCATGCCAGCAGAACTCCTCTTCCCCCTTCTTTGGAGCCTGTAATTTCAATCGGGGAGGAGGCTGGGCTGTGGAGTAAACAAGGCAGGAGAGGGCAGGGCTGCAGAGAAGGAGGTTTGGGAGCAAAGTAGAGGTCCAAAGAAGGGGGTGAGGGAGGGAGGAACACAGAGGAAGAGGAGGACTTGGAGGTGCATGAGATACCAGAAAACAGTGCTGGCAGTGGCTCTGGGTCTGATACTGGGCTTTGTGCTGCTTGCACTCACCCCAACTGTTCTGTCTTTGGCAGGTGCCCATGAGCTTGTCAGGATGGATAGGTAAGAAAACCCATGTGCTCCCAGCTCCCCCCACCTCCTCACCTCCCCTCTGCCTGCATCCCAGACCCTGCAAGGTTCTTGTCCTCTCTTCCTTTCCCTTGAAGTCAGCATATATCCTCAGCCTGGCAGAGCAAAGAGGATGCTGGTGGCACCCATGCCCTGGGTCCTGTCCCATTCTGGGAAGCTGCTATTTCTTTTCCCTCCCTCTGAGTGGAAAGTGGCATGCATCTCCCCACACCCCAGGAGAACATGAAACAACTTTGTCTAAGCTTTCCACCCCTACACTGGACTCCCTGTTTGCTCTCAGCTGAGATGTGACTACCTGAACCTGCTCCTTGGCCTGCTTGGCTCAGCCAAAGCCCTGGGGATAAAAAAGTCTCCTGAAATAAAAATAAAAATCTCTCTCCTCTCCCACAGCAGTGCCCATGGAATTGAAAACCCTGTCTTCGAGGCAGTCCCCTCAGTGAGCGCAGAGCCACAGCCCCGACCCCAGCTGTCCTACATGGCCAGCCGGCTGCCCTCCGAATCTGGCCGGCACCTGCTCTCCGAGCCCAGCACCCCCCTGTCCCCCCCTGGCCCCGGGGACTGCTTCTTCCCAACGCTGGGTGAGTGACTGGCGATGCTGAGCCACCGCGGGGGCTGGAACGGGGCAGGAAGGAAAGGGGCAGGCAGGGTGAATGGGAAAAGGGGGGTTAAATATCCGCTGCAAACTTTGTGTAATGTAGGACATCCAGTCCCAGGCCTCTGAAGATGGGAGGGACCCAAACCCTCTGTTTTCCACGCAAAAGCAGAGTTTGGCTACTTCTCAAAGCACATCCCTTCAGCTGCAAGCTAGACTAATATCCCTGGTCTGCCCTTTTCCAGATCCTGTCCCTGATTCACCAAATTCCTTGAAAGCCTAAAGACTCCAGAGGAAACCACATCCTGCAGACCATGCCATGCTCGCCCAGCCAAGACCCCCGGGAGGGTGGCAGGGCCAGGGGCAGCAAAACCTTCAGAAATGAAGCTGGGTGCAGGATCCTTGCCCTCATCTCCCATCCTGCCTCTGCCCCAGGACTGGAGGTGAACCTCTCTTGCCTGGATTTTGGTTTTTAACAACCTGTTTCAATGGAGAAGAGCATGGCTCTGTACTGCTCACATTTCATGGACTAGCTGAAAATTGAGGACGTGGCGATGGAAGGATGTCCTGCACCTGTAAACTTCCCTGAGGATTTAACTTATTGCCAGGGCTTTAAGCTCTGCAACATCAACCTGTTTCTGCATCCTTGACTGAACATCCTCTCTGGGAGTGGATGGTAAAGTACTTGATCCAGTGTGAAACTAAACAGGGTCACCAGCCAACCTTGTGCTACCTTTTTCTTTGCAAAACAGGAAGGGGAGAGGCTCCTTGCTGCCACCAGAGCACTCCTTCCCCCCAGCCTTTTGAGATGGCCACGGACTCATGATGCTGCCGACATGTCGGGAGGAGCCTTATTTCTGCTGCAGTTTTCTCCTTGGCTTGGGATCAAGGGAATTTCTCTTTCTATTTGTTTCATTATCAGTGCTGATTAAAAGAAAAAAAGGATGTTTATGGTTTTCATTTGGGTTTTTTTGGAGGGTGTTGGAGGATGTTTCTGTGACATGGCTGAGAGCCCCTGTGGAGAGGTAGAGGCATGGGAATGTAGCAGGCAGTGGGAAACATTATGGATGCCTTCCTCCAACCCTCCTGGGGCCAACATGGCCAGAGCAGTCATCCCTGGGGCCACTGTGAGAGGACACTGATGCCCTGGGGGATGTGGGTGCTCTTGCAGCATCTGAACAGAGCACCCCGGCATCACTTATCCAAAAGAAGCCATGGGTCAGGCTCCAGCATGACTCAGCCCCAGTAAAGAGATAAAACCTTGTGGTAGACACTATTACTCAAAGAGTGTGTTTGGGGTTTTTTTCCTCTTGCTTCTGTTTTTGTTGTAAAGTGGAGAAAAAAATTGCCACGAGACAAACATAAACATTAGTCATACTAAAACAGTGTCAGATCTGAGCAATAGCTGTACCAGGCAGTGTGCCCAGGCAGAGCGTCCCCGGCAGCATATGGATTTCGACACTACATGGCTGGAGAAAACCGTGTTTGCCTCTGGAATGGACTGGGGAGACCCTGGGTTGCTGCAGGATTTGAATAATCTAGTGTTGGCTTCAGCAAGAGCAACTTCAATATAGTTCAGGGATGAAGGAGAAGCCAGAACCCACACTTACTACGTACCGTGGATGTAACTTCCTGAACATGAGACTTGTGCTTTATTGCCACCCACGGCTCAGCCCCTTCCCAGCTTTGCTGGGGAGGCTCACCCAGTGCCACTGGCACTTCCCTCTCCCTGTCCCAGCAGTTGCAGCCAGAAAGGCAAGCCGGGGATTTGCTTGCCCGCGGGTCCTAACTGCTTTGAAACCGTCTCCAAGTCCCTCTGTTTGCTAACGAATGCACTGTTCGATGACAGAATAAAGCTTTGTTGGAAAGGGTTTCTGCTCTATGTGGCAGGAATCCCATTTGCTGGGATGTCTGGTGCTGCAGGCAGAGGTAAGCCGAGCAGCCATACTCTCTGCCAGAGGCACTGGTGCTGCATGTTGGGGTACTGAGTGTCATTTAGGACTCTTTCACACCTGGAAAACTCACCAGAAGGAAAACTAAAGACATCTAGGGGTGACAGTGGCTACCCAAGGGCTACTCAGGATTCCACACATGCTGGAGCAGGAGTTGTGACCCACTGGGTACTGGCACCCCACCTTGGCTCTCACCACCAGTGGAGAAGAAAACACATGCGTATGAAGGTGACCCAGCTGCAAGATAGGCATCTGGGCAGTGAGGACCCAGCATGCTTTGCTGGAACCGCCAGTGCCTGAGTCTGTGGGTGCCAGGACGATCCCTGCCCTGGCGCATGTGGGTGCCACAGCTCCCTTGGGCAAACATCCTTCCTTCTGCTGCAGCAAGCATGCCAACCAGTCCGGAGCAGGGCCAGCCCTTGGGGAAGTGCAGCTGCTGGCCTGCACCAGGGTCCGACAGCACGCAAGTGACTCCTGCAATTCCCACACACGAACACCAAGACCTTCCAGTTGCAGCTCACCCAATTCTGAAGGGTTTTTTTCCTGCAGTGCTTTTTGGGGTAAATGTTTTCCTTTAATTAACATCCCTTTAGCTTTTGGCCCTGCATTTCCAGCTCCCAGGACCATCCTCTTGGCCAGTCTTCCATGTTCCCTTGGTGTCCTGGGTATCCCAGATTACCAAGGGACTTCCATGTCCTCTTCCAGCTCCGTCTCCTCTGTCTCTCCCACAGGCCGAATCTTGAAGCACATGGAGGGTAGGACAAATGACAAACAATCATCCCCTTTTGTGCATCATTGCATTGGCCTGGACCTACTTGTGAAACCACAGTTTCTAGCAGACATCATTTCAGTGCCCAGGCATGAGGCCAGCAGGCACCGAGCGACACGCCGGACAGCCTTTCACAAGACCTAAGCAACCTCAAGCTCCAAAATGGGCTGAAATTCTGCTCTCTGCTCAGGAATCAGGTCACTGGGTGCTTTGTTTTGCTTCAGTGTGGTGGGATTTGTACCATCGCTGCTGACATAACTTGTGTGAGTGATGTGGTGGTCACGCAGCCGAACCTCTGAGGACAAGCGAGGCTGCTGGGACACCACTTTGGCAGTGTGAAGTGGTAAGTTGGGACACGTGCCCTCTCTGGCCCTAGGAAGGGAAGAGGGCATTGCCATGGCAATGGGATTTGCTGGCTCGGCACACAGCATTCCTCGGCACTGAAACACCAGCGATGCTCTCACAGTGCCACACTGATGGGGCAAGGGGAGGCTGATGGTATGGGGTGTTGCAGTCACATGAAGCTGCCTTCTCACTCACCTAGATTTAAGCCTCAGTGGCAGCACAGCATACAGAAAAGATGATGAACCAGAAGCAGGAGTGTAAACTACCCAGGAAGGAGCTGAAAGCACAAAGCCTGAGAGTGCACAGTTTGCACAGTTGGCTGTGACCTGTTTCCTCAAAATGCAGAGCAGGGCTTTGCAGGCAGAACTCTGCTGGGAGAGCAGAGAGATGGTGAGAGATAGCAGGTGGAGATGGGGGTCAGGAAGGATGGCAAGATGTCACACAGGGTGTCAGCCTATCTCACTATGTGGGCTTCCTTGGTGCAGCCAGGTGCTCATTAACCTCCCTACAGAGACTTGGGGGTCAGGAGGGACTCAGGGCTGGAAAATGCCCCACATGGTATTTGCTCTTTTGATTCTCCCATGCTAGAGTCCTCCTTAGAGTCACAAATAATGAACAAAGCAAGGCAATCACCTCCCCAGACCACAGGATGATGGATGGGGTCTCACATCAGCCCCAAAATGTATGCTTAGACCCTGATCACCGTGGGCTGGACACTCCAGATGGCAGCAACACGACTCACAAGTTCCTCAGATCTCATGCAGTAGGGACCACAACAGCTATAGCAGCAGGTTTGTGTTGAAAGGGACCTTAAACATCTCATTCCAATCCCCTGCTGTGGGCAGGGACACCTGCCACTAGCCCAGGTTGCTCCAAGCCCCATTCAACCTGGCCTTGAGCAGTTCCCAGGATGGAGCAGCCACAGCTTCTCTGGGCAACCTGTGCCAGTGCCTCACCACCCTCACAGGGAAGAATTTCTTCCTAAATACCTCATCTAACCCTGCCCTCTGTCAGTGTGAAGCCATTCCTTCTTGTCTTGTCACTCCATACCATTGTCCAATTAGCAGAGCTCTTCTCATTCACAAGGACCACAGCAGACACACACTGGTCCATGGTGAACAAAACTGTGGTTCAGCTGCTGCTCCAGCCACTCCTGCTGCTGAGATGGATGGAAGACATCTGGAGACCTTCCAGACTTAGTGCAGGAGGAGCCTGTGAGGAGGACAACTCCTGCAGCTGCCAACAGGGATGCTTATGGTATTTTTGGAATTTACAGATTGGAGATGGTAGCTCTCTAAATCACTGTGAGAGAGGGTCTCGCAGGACCACATGCCAAAGGAGGCTCTGAACCCAACCTGTGCACAGCAGATTTGGACCCCAAGTCATGACCCAAACTCCTGGGTCACCAAACATCACGCCCTGTGCCTTTCTTTTCCCCCCTTTCATCCTTGATGTCTCAATGCTAGGATCACTCCCACAGCACTGCCCAGCCCCATCGTCCTCCTGGAAAAGCCCATTTTGGTGGCTCACCGACAGGGAGGGGTTGCCCTCATCCTCAACAGTGACCTCCAGTCTGTAGAAGCTCTGCCGCTCGCGGTCTGGTGGGGAGGGCCGGGTGGCAATCTCACCAGTGACACGGTCCATGCGGAACGTCAGGTCCTCATTTCCACCAGTTATGTAGTAGGAAAGGACACTGTTGAGGCCGATGTCCCGGTCGGTGGCACGTACCTGGACCACTGCTGTGCCACCACCAACATTCTGCAGGGTGAGATGTTGGTGTGAGCAGCAAAGATACACGACATAAATCCCGTGAGCCTCATCACGTATAAAATACATAATTAATAATGTAATTCTAATATAGAGAGGGGATTTTCCAGGCACTGAAGTGCTTGAGGCTCCAAACTTGTTGCCCCAACATCCAGCAGCTCAGCAGAAAGCTGCACATTAGGTCTTATCTAGTCTGACACAGCGTGGAAGACCGTAAAACCCAGTATGTGTGCAAAGTTGAAGGTTGTGAAATGGACTCAGAGCTGAGCTAATTATTTTTGGATAGTCCCATTATGGGAGAAATCAAAACAGAAATTCTGTTCTTCAGCCAGCTCTGAACAAGTATTAAATAGATAAGAAAACCCTAACAGGCAATAACCTTAATGCAAAGCTATAAATCATGAGCAGCAGTTCCTCACAGCTAAGTGGCACTGGCTATTATTCATATTTCATTTTTCATCACCAAATTGAGGATTCCTCCTCCACCCCCAGCCCAGGAATTAAACTGTCAGGAAATAAGTTGTCTTTTCTCATGCCTGATTGTGTTTTATTGCTTAATTATCTAGCCCTTGCCAAGCAGCTTCCTGAAAGCCATTCCTGTTCTGCACCGCACCGCCTCGTGTGTCACTTTGGCGGCATTTCCATCAGTGTGTAGACACTTCTCCTTCTGACTGGTTCCTGCAGCCTCATGGGCTCAAGCTTCCTGCAGAGCTTTCTCCTAGCCCAAAACTATGAGTCCATCACCAGTTAGGGCTTGCAAGGGGTCACCAACCCTTAAATCATCCAAGGTGAGGTTTGCAAGGGGCCACTGACAATTAAATGACTAAAGATGAGGCTTGCAAGGGGTCACGAAAGCTTAAATGAGCCAAGGTGAGGTTTGCAAGGGACACTCCATTGTCCCCACTTGTCTCATGCTCAGATCTCACCAAGGGAGGATGGAAGGAGAGGAGTAGGGTCAGGTGCTCACCTCGCTCACGCTCACGTTGTAGCCGAAGGGGCTCTCGATGACAGGAGGGTTGTCATTGACATCGAGGATGTTCACTCGCAGAGTGTGCTCCTTCCTCCGTGGGGGCACGCCACCATCTGATGCTTGGATCTGCAGTTGGGGATGGATTTTCAAAAAATATGCTGTTTTGAAGCTCATAGTTCCAAGAAAGCAGTCTGGGTGCTCAAACCAGAAGACTGAGGAGATAAGCAGGGTGGTTTGGTGCTGACCCGTAAGGTGTAGTGATCCACCAGCTCCCGGTCCAGTGGCCGTGCCACGAACACCTCTCCATAGGTGTCATTGGTGGTACGGATCTCGAAAGCCTGGCCGATATTCCCTGACGTCAGGGAGAAAGTCACCTGGAAACATCACAGGGGAAGAAAAATAGGGCAGGCAAAGTGATGCTGTGAGGAGGAAGGAGAGAAAGGAAACTCTACAAAAATAAACCCAGCCATCACCTCAAAAAGACTCAGAGCTTTTTAAAAGGTCCAGTGTACTGGGATCCACACGTGCTGGATTATTGCAACCACCCCAAAGTAAACACCCCTGGCCAGCCCCAGTCGCATCCACAACTCCTATGCTGCCAGCAATTCTTGTTAAGGGTAACAGGACCTCATTAACGCCTGTCTGCATGGTAATGAAAACAGCAAATGTCAGAGAGCTTCCTGCTCAGCCTGCCAAGGACTTTGCTGCCCGGCTCCATGGTGGGGGAGACCACAGCTGGTTTTCAGATTGCCAGGCACATTTTGAAATGTGTCCTGCAGAGCTCTTTACCCCAGACAGCCCAAGGACAATGTTTTTCCTCTCCTGCTGCACAGCTCAGCTGAGAAGTGCTGGTATCCACTGCACAAACCTCCCAAAAAAATGCTAGCATCAATGATCAGGGTTTGCTCACACGAGGATACAGAGGGGAAAGGCTTGGGAGGATACTGGTGGAGGTATTTCTGCATCAGTGAAACACTACTACAGCCCCAGGCCTTCCATGCCAGTCTCACAGAACTGTAGAATATTCTGAATTGGAAAGGACCCACACGGATCATCAAGTCCAAGTCCTGGCCCTGCACAGGACTACCCCAAGAATCACACCATATGCCTGACAGCATTGTCCGAAGGTATCCCTACCTGCCCATTGCTGCCTGCATCTGGATCGCGGGCCAGGACCAGTGCCACCCGCTTGCCAACGGCGATGTCCTCAGGCACACTGACAAACGAGTCAGAGGTGATGTCAAACTGGGGGCTGTTGTCGTTCTCGTCCAGGACTGTGATGGTCACCTGTGGGCATCACACAGGGCTCAGGTGGGGCATGGACAGGAGCTGACCTCCCACCCACCCAGCATCAACAGCCATCCTGACACACACTCAACCCACTGCACCCCTCCAAGGTGCCAACAGCATGAGTGCCATCCATCCTATGTGGGAATGATGCCACTACTTGAGTATAGGATCTGAAGTTACATCCCTGCCTGCAGAGGAGGAGGGATGCTTGGAGGCTAGAGAAACAGCACAAGGCTGCTGCAGCTCTCAAGTGGTGGATTTTTCTGTGGAGCATCCTCTGTTTTTAATCCTCCAAATAGCTGGGCACGGAGCAGCTCAGGCTGCTGCAGGATGACCCTTTCCTGCTAAGTTTTTCACAAATAGTGATTTCACCCATGCATATAGCACTGGGGTCAGGCAGAGTTTGCTCTAAAGCACAACGGGTACACAAGGCATAGCTGAGTGTATTTAACTCAACCAGGACAAGCTGGGTGTAGAGGAGATCTGAGCTCCCTCTTGGGAAAAGGCACATGGGCACGAGAGGCTTGGATGGGACCTGGCTACTTTGGCCACAATTAGCCAGAGGAAATGCTCTCATTGAGTTTGTAATCAAAGCACTGCAAGGCAAAACAGAAATGAGAGAGGAAGAGCCTTTCTGTTCCCGGGGATTTATTTATGGGTGCCCTGAGCCCCCAGGTGCGGCCAGTCGGAATGTGACAACATCCCGGGAGGAAGCTGGGGAGTGAGTTGTGTGCCTTGGGGCAATTCGGTTATTGTTGCTGCTGAATTAAAAACTGAGAGCCAGGAGCAGGGAGAGCTAATTCAGCCACTGCGATGGATCCGGCAGCTGCTGTCCCAGGAGCCCCATCAGGGCACTAGGATTCTGCTTGCCAGCAGCAGGATGGCTCACAGGTGCCGCACCACGTCCTGGGGAGGGCCATGGAGGCTGGGGCTGGTGGGACAGGGCTGGAGACCTCTGCCCCAGTCCCTCCTTGCTGCTGCATGTGGAGTTTGGGATGGAGTCTGGTCCCCAGGGTGATGACAGCATGATGGATATACTTACCTTCTGTTGGAGGAGAGCAGAGAGGGAAACAGAGAACACAAAGAAGAAGGAGTTAGTAAAGGATGAGGAGATGCGGGTTAACCCTGCATCCCACCATAGCAGTGTCACATGTACGCCTCTGCAGCGAGGCTCTTTTGTTGATGCATCCCTTTGTTTTTTTCTAGATAAGATTGGCAGATTTGCCTCTCGCCCTGGGAGAGGTTCAGATGAGCAGGGCACTGTGTGGGGAGTGCAGCCACTGGCACCCATGGGCTGGCCATGCACACAGTGTGCCTCCTGCTCTGGCAGAGAAATGCAAATCCCTCCCTGCTTGGCTGCCTGTGAAACTGCCAAATATAACCCTCTTAAACACAAACCACCATGAAGTATTTCAAGGCCCCTAAATTTATCTCCTTCAAAACTGTCTTAGCAGGTTTTTCCCCAAATCAGGGTTTCCGGACCCTGGTGGCTAAAGCAGAGGAGTCAGCTAGGACATGCTGTCCCATGTCACAGGAAGAGGGAGGTTACCTGAGGTTGACAGCAGATTGTGGGGAAGTGGGGAGAAGCTACTCACCGCTGTAGAGTCAGTCTTTGGTCCTCCATCATCAGCCACCACAGTTAAGGTGTAGAAATCCCCTTTCTCTCGATCCACCTGGCCTTTGACTGTGATCACACCCTGCCAAGGACAAACAACAGTTGTGCTGGCCACCAACACCACAGTTTACAGTGGACAGCCAAGCCAGAAGGCACCATGAGGTGGCTACTTACAGTGACCCCGTTGATTTTGAAGAGGGAGAGTGCTTGGGCATTGGTGTTAGGGTCAAACTTATAGGTGATCTGGTTCAGATTGTCGATGGAACGAGCCTGGACTCGGAGCACCTCAGAGCCCAGGGGGATGTTCTCCATGATCACAGCCTCGTAGCTGCTGTTGGAGAACTCTACAGCCTCATCCAGCTCATTCAGCAGGCTGATATACACACTGCAGAAGCCCTGGTTGTAGGGGGGTGCTTGGTCCGTGGCAGAGACATTCATCAAGTAGCTGGTTTTGGTCTCGTAGTCCAGGTAGTCTATCGTTGTGATGAGGCCTGTGCTCTCATCAATCTCAAACTTCCCTTCTGCGCCCGAGACAATTTGGTAGTTGACCAGACCACCATTCCCTGGGGAGGAAGCAGGAACTATGGTGCCAGCTGGACCAAGCATCCCAAAGAGGCAGGCACCACTGATGCTGACTCCCACCATGGAACAGAACCCATCCATCCCATGTGTAGATTTCAACCCAGCCAAGTCAGGATCCGTGCAATGGCTGATTCCACCACTTTGCCCAACCTGGGTGTATCTCACCTCCACCTTCCTACCTGTGTCTCGGTCAGTGGCTCGGACCACCAACACTGAAGTCCCAATCCCCGCTGTCTCCCGCAGCCCCAGGCGGCTGTACTGGCGCTGAGTGAATACTGGCACCTCATCATTGACATCCTCCACATAGACAATCACCTGTGGAACCCCCCAAGGAAACCACAGGTGAGCCAGGCAGGCTTGTGAACCCTCACCAGCTGCTACACTGGTGAGGGGAAATATATCCTTCACAGTGCCCATGGAGAAACATTTCAGGATGTTCAAGGCCAGGCTGGATGGGGCTTGGAGCAAGCTGGGCTAGTGGAAGGTGTTCCTGACCATGGCAGGGGTTTTGAACTAGGTGAACTCTAAGGTTCCTTCCAATCCAAACCATTCTAGGATTCTGTGATTATCTCTTCTACAAACACCACTTGATGGAGTGAGCACAAATGGTTTAGCATCACAGATTTAAACAAGCCCTGTGGTTGGAGTGACTCAGTCATTCCTTGGTGGGAGGGAGGTACACTGGGTACACTAATTCCTCCATGCTTTGGGATCCCCTGCTCACAACCTGGAGACCTTCACAATGTAGGAATGCTGGCGACTCAGTGGGAAATTTCACTCAGAGTTCAGTGGGTTGAGCTGCTGTTTCCCCAGGGAGCATCTTTTCTCCTCCTGATTTTCTGCTTGCTACTGGTGCTGTGGGCATGTCATGCTTGGTCAGAGCCCACCCCACCACTGGTCTAAAAATAGATGGAAGAAGAGGGCTGGGTTTGTGGGAACCATGGGAAGCTGGTGTGTCATGGCTAAAGATTAGCACCACTGGGTCCTGGATTATTTAAAGAGATGCCTGGCCGGGAGACACAGGTTTCAACAGGCTTTTCCTCCTGACAGCACAGCAATGTCTTGCTGGATGAGCGGGACTCCCTCTGACAGTGCCTGCTGCATCACTTAGGAGCCTCATCGCACCGAAATGTCACAGGAAAAAATTAAAAACAACAACCAAAAAACCCCAACAAGATATTCTCCACCCACAGGCAGCCCCCGGAGACTTTACGTCAGCATTTTCATTTCAGATCTTTCTAATTTCCTGCATGACTGCAAGAGCTGGAAAGGACAAAGCATCCCAAATATTTTGCACGAACTTCTCTGCTGTCCACCCCTCAGTAGCCATGAGGTCCTTACCCGCACGGAGCTCCTCATGGGCCCATGCTCTGTGTTGTAGGCCTCCACCTCCAGGATGTGAGAGGAGTTTTGCTCCCTGTCCAGGGGCCGCACACCTCTCATCACCAGCCCAGTGCTGGGATTGATGCGAAAGTGGTTGTGCTCATTTCCTGGTGGGGGGGAAAAGCCAGAGGGATGTTGGTCACTGCTTCCACATCTGTCCTGGTGACACACTGAGCCTTCCCCAGAGGACTATTTTGGAGGAATAGTCATCAGGTTTGGCCCTTGGGTCAAGCCAGGAGGAGCTACAGAATCTCATCAAACCAGAAGGATGTGGACCTGTTGGAGTGGGTCCAGAGGAGGCCACAGACACGCGCCAAGGTCTGGAGCACCTCTGATAAGGAGACAGGCTGAGAGAGTTGGGGTTGTTCAGCCTGGAGAAGAGAAGGCTCTGGGGAGACCTTAGAGCCCATCCCAGGGCTTAAAAGGGCTCTAAGAGAGCTGGGGAGGGACTTTGGACAAGGGCCTGGAGTGAGAGGACAAGAGGGAATGACTTTCAACTGACAGAGGAGTCAAACTCTCTAACCTCCTGAGGCTGTGTGTGTTGCTGGCCAGAGTTTGGTACAAACCCACCAGTGCTTGAAGGGGGCACCTGGACTTACCCTTGACAATCCTGTACCACACTCTCCCATTAATGCCTTCATCTGCATCTGTGGCTTTCACCTTCATGAGAAAAGAAAAGCAGTGAAGATGAAGAGCAAACAATCCCAGACTATGACCAGTCCCCTCACCCTGCCGAGGCTGGACATCCTGCGCCTGAGCCTGAGAGCTTACCAACTGCAGAGCAAAATAAGTTACTCTCCCCTCATCACTACACAGAAGGGACAGTGGGAGCCCTTGGCTGCCAGGTTAGCTGTTGGATGGATTGAGGTGGGAGTTGAGCCTGAAGACCGTGCCACGAAGCTTGCAGGTCTCTGTGCTGGTGGAGGTACCTTCATTGATCCTGCCCTGCACAACAACCTTTGTCTCACTGGCAATGCTGTCAGGAATGGAGCCTTTCTGGGATGATTTGAACTGGGCAAGGAGAGCTGCTCCCATGTCTGTCGGCACACAGCCCACAGCATCCTGGTGAGTCACCCAAGCAGCAGCATATGTAAAAATTACCCAAAAAAATGTGAATGCAACCAGCGTAGAGCATGCTGGTGCTTTGAACACTGGGTTGAGTCCTCCTGAGGCCCTGAGCAGTGGGTGGGAACACGCCTTCACTAAGATGCACTGTACAGTCCAGGCATGTGCCAAATAAGCTGTCTGCCCCGGGAAACCCAAGGCACGGGTCCCCTCTGGTGTCACTGAACAAGACTGCAGTGCTTTCCCTAAACCCCCCCCAGCAGCTAGCCCCAGCAGCTGGGAGGCAGGACCTGGCAGTGTACAGCAGGGCCAGGGCTCCCAACCCAGCTGGCTCTGAGCCACTGCACTTCTCTCTGCAAAAACCACTTCCCACAAAGCATCCAAAGTTCGACCACAGTGTAGCTGCTTGCAAATCACCAGGGCAAGGATGCAGGGAATGCCTTAGCCTTTATTCTCTGCCTGCTTCCCTCTGCAAGGCAGCTTCTGCCGCATCTTCTCCCTACAATATTACCCAGCGGTTTCCTCTTCCCAGGCAGGTGGGGGTTTACATCCAGACTTGCACTGGAAAGAGGAGGTGCTGCAAAAGATGCATGAGCAGTGGGAACAGTGAGGGCTTTCACCCCCAGCCCCACACAACACACGCAGGAGTCAGTGAAGCTCTTCTGAAACAGTTTCGAGATGCCTTGAACTGCTCTTGCTCCCTTCCATCAAATCAGCTTGTGTCAGCAGAAACCTTGGAAAATACTGACCTCTGCACTTGCAAACTATGTGGATTTCTCCTCCCTGTGCCACACCCACTGTTTATCTCTGTCCCAGACCAGGGGACATCTTGCTTGTCACTTATTTTGTGTTCCATCAAGGACCCAAGCACCTTCCTTTGACAGTGGGGAGGTCTCCATCCCAAACCAGCCCTTCCACGCTCAGGGCTCCCTGAGGCTGTTTCTGGGCAGCCCAGTGGCTGTCTCCTCTCCTGTAGGATGCACAGGCCCCACAGCAGCAGGCAAGCGATGCCCAGGCAGACCATCTGCCTTGGCAAAGCACTGGCTCCCTTCTGGGAAAAGCTATCATGCAGCCAGAGGAGGAAAACCAAAGGGATGGGAGGCAAACCTTCGCAGCTTTTTGTGACATTCCCTGCCCTGCTGTGCCCAGGGGAATGTATATCAGGATGGGCCAACTGCACCCCACAAACACTCTGTGAGCCATCGTCTTCCCAGCTCACCCCAAGCGTTTTCTGCACGCAGCTCTGGCACGTAGACCAGGTGAGATGGGTCAGCCCAGGTGTTTGCATTAAAGCAATGCATTTACTTGCCAGCCTGCAGCCTGGAAAAAGCTTGGCTGCTGCTGGTTTGACCCACTGAGGTCCCAAAGGAGAGATGACACTTTTGACAGACTGTCCCAAACTTGGGAAAACAGTGCTGCTGAAGTGCAAGCCCGGGGAAAAAAGCTCTTTCTGCTGCAGGTGGAAGGCATCATGTGCAGCTGAGTGCCAGTGCCTCCAGTCTGCTTTATCCCTCTGCTGGAGATTAGGCTGCAGGCAGAGCCAGCCTTTCACAGCCCTCATTCAAACACCCCCAGCTACTGGAAAGGTGTCAGAAAAGGAGCATGGTGGGGGTATGGGGTGATGGAATAAAAGAATGGTAAAAAGTAGAGCTGCTGGGAAAATGGAGAGCAGGCATGTGGAGGGCAGCCCGCCACCCCTTCTCCAGCATCGGCTCAGCCCACAACTGTACCATTCAGCCTTCCCGCAGGGACAAAGCCTGAGGAAACATCCCAGGGGCCTCAACCTCTCACTCCAGCAGGACACAGTTTGGGGCACCATGGCACTGGCAAAGCCTGGGGAGGGGCTCAGGGCCCCCTTGGCTTTGCACGCTCAGGCTGTGCCCAGCCCAGCTGTCATCTCTCTCCCACCCTCCCAAAAGGGAGAAGGGGGCTGGCAGCTGTCAGAGCGTGGTGGGAGAGGCAGCAAGGCAGGCGCACAGGAGGCACAGCCCGGGCTCAGCCAGCTGGTGAGAGGTAGGGAGCCCTAACCCCTGCAGCAAACCCACTTCCAGCCACTCAGGCTCACCCTGAGGGGTGAGAGACAGACCCCCAGCTGCAGAGTGGCTGCCCTCAGCCCTGCAGGGAAAGGGCTGGGAAAGGGCTGCAAATGGGGGGAAATGTGGGTCGGTGTGAGGTCAGGCATCCCTCCTCCCTTCTCTGTTCATTGCTTTATCTGTCCCGGTGATGGGAAAGGAGGAAATTCCTGTGGATACAGAGATGTTGCTTAACAGTGAGGGTGATGGGTGACAGCATCACTCACAGCCCTCCTTTTGGTACCCAAGCGTCCGGGTCGGGAAGCAGGGTGTTTGCTACCCTCCAGTATTACCTCCTCCTACAAGTGGGTGGAAGGACTTAGTGCTTTGGGAAAAGCTGGAGAGCTTCAGGAAAGTGTTGCTAAGCAAGACAGGGAGAGGAATGAGAGCTGCTTTTCATCGGAGCTGTTACAAGCAGTGCCTGAAAGCAGCCTTTTCTTTGCAGGACTTTGAGGAAAGGGAGTGAGAGCATATGAAAAACTGCCAAACTAGGCAGCTGGGCCAGGACAGGGAGCAGTGCCTGGTGCTGGGCAGAATAACCCTCTCTGCTGCTCATGCACAAGAATCATTCCTTCTTTGTTTCCTCAGAGGCACTTTACCTTTAGCAATTTCTCTTCTTTCCCTCTGATCCTCAGCTGCCTTGTGCCCAGTGCTGGGTCCCGAGCGCTCCTGGAGACATGCCATGTTTAGAGCTATCAGGCAAAGATGACCCTTCTGAGGGGGATTTCTAGGATGGGCAAACTTCTTATTAACCCACCAGGGTTGACAAAGTGGGGCTTGGGTGGGAAGCCCAGACCTTCACTGCACCTGCAGTTCTGCCAGCTGAGCTGGGCATGAGGACAGGCTAGATGGGAAGCAAGAGGAAGACAGGAGGAGTGGCATGGCTGAAAAAGCCTGGGAAAACATCACTGTGATCCCTCCTGATAGGTTTCCACTGAACACTGTCAAGTAAATTAAAAAGACAAAGTCTGCAGCCACCACCAAGGGAGCCAAAAACAGCCTGAAGGAATTGCTCACACCTCAGTGCAGTCAGTAAATGCCAGCATTAAGGTAGCCGTGGAAACCTTGATTCAGGCGGCCCTGGGTGTGGATATGCTGCAGCCCTGCCTGCTGGTTTTCCATGCCCGGGCTGCACAGAGGAGCAGCCTGTCCGTGGAGTGGTAGGTCCTTGGGAAGGCTGCTCTGCTCCCAAAGCTGAGGGGAAGGGGCTGAGCCAGGCAAGGAGAGACTGCATGATAAAGAAATACCTTTGAGGTGAAGAGAGGTGAAAACACCACTTTGGAGGAGGTGACAAGAGCCCCAGTCCCTGAGCCCACTTGCAATACAGCGATTCACCTGAGCTAAAGTGTTCTCAGACACTGATCCATTTATTTTTGAATTTCTCATTTTCCAAGCACAGACCTGTCAAACATCTCTCCATCCCTCTTCTACCTCATACATATCTGTAGGAAAGTCAGTCTAATAAAGCTTTGCCTCCAGCATACAGGCTGGAGCACCAAGGGCACGGCAGAGGGTTGGCACAGCAAGATTTCCCCTGCCCTCATCTCCAACAGCCTGTCTGGGGCTAGAGGGTGCGTGGGAGCAAAAAAAATGGGTGCAAACTGCTCTTGGGAGGATATACCTGCCAGGAAAAGGAGAGGACAATTACCATCAAGTGTTAGGTAAGAGCTCTCACTCATGAGGCTTTGGGAAGCTGGTTTACATCACTCTGCAGAATTGGCTGAGAAACCTGTGACATGCCTGAACCTGGAATCAGGTCAGCAAAATGCCTGACGCAAGAGGATTTTAGGCACGAGCAGGGTGAGGGTGTTACACTTCTCCCCTGCAAATAACCAAAGGCAATGCTAGTGCAATACCATAGCTCAGTGGGGACTTACCAGGGCACAGGCTCAAACGACTATCCAGTTTCCTTGGAATAATCAAAAAACCCCAAAAGACAACCAATTCAACAAACCCTTACTTCTGGGGAATAGAGAAGAAACAAACCCCAGCAACTTGCAGGGACCTGCTTTAGTGCATGGATATTTATCTCTTCCAGAAAATCTTCCTGCAACACGTGTGTTGTCCCTCAGGGGCCATGGTACCATGTGTACATAGCACCACCCGTGATGGATTTCTTTGCCAGGTGGTTTTGCACTTCAGTTCAGGGCAATACTTTTGCAGGTATAAATCCCACCTCTGCACTTTGCCTTCTGGCAAAGCAGATGGATGCCTCCTGTCTCCCTGTGTCACAGAAAACATGGCTGGGAGAATCTTGGACATCAAGGCATGACAAAAATCCACCAGTTTAGGCAGAGGGTGGCTGTCTGTTCAGCTTCTAGGTGGTAAACACCTGTATCAATTCTCTGTATCACCTGGTGCACTGCAGAGAAGATGAGCACAGAGGATGCTGGTAACGGGACCTCTCCCACCCCACCTCTCCTTGGGCTTCTGGTTTCAACCACTCAGCTGGCCCCAGGCAGCACTGCATCCCCCGAGATGACAGAGCCACTACCTGTCATCATCTCGCTTATCTGCATCTTCCTCCTCGTGGCAACTTTCCTCATCTTTGTCACCCTCTGCAAGCCAGCAGCGCTGGACCAGTCCCTCTCTGGGCCCCACGAGTGCATGCCCCATCACCCAGTGGATGCCAGTGAGCCCCAGCTGAGGCTCTGGAAGCGCCTGGGCTCCCTGCGGCGCTCCATCAACAGCTTCAGGAGGAGCCAGCCGGTGGCTCAGAGCCAGCTCGCCTGTTCCAGGATCTTCCCCACCTGCCAGGACTGGGACATCATGGAGTCCACCAAAATGTGACCCTGCTCTGCTATTCTCTCTCAAGCTTTTGGTTCAGGCTCAGTGCCCTCCTCAAGCATCCCCTGCTATCCTGAGCATTCCAGCAGAGCCCCTTTGAGCAGCTCATTTCTCAGCCATGTCTTTCTGCGATAGGAGATTTTGCAATTTCAGCTTCCCAAATGCTTTCCAAGTTACTGTTTACTGGCAGGAAAGGTGGAAGCATCCAAACTGCACCCACCTGCAGCTATCACCAGGCAGTCCAAAAAATACTGGTGCTTCATTTCTTTTGGAAAACATCACGCAAGTTGTGCTGCACCTGAACAAATAGCCTGGAAGAGAGTGGAGCAACCTGGCTGTCTATAGAGAGTCGTCCTGGGGCAAACCTGCTCCACAAAAATCAATCCTCAGGCAAGATCACCCCCCAAACTGTGCTCCTGAGCAGGTGGAGGGAAGCTCATGCCCCCTGTGTGCTAGCTGGTCCCTGTCTCCCCACTCCCCATGCAATGAGTCACGGGTTGCTGTGGTTGAGGCTTGGAAGGATGCAGGGCACAGCTGTCTGCTGGAAACCTGCTTCCATAAACAAGTAGCAGGAGCAGGTAAATACACTGATAAATGCATTAAACGGGCCTTTTGAGGCTCACAGATGCTCCTGGCTTGGAAAGACGCTGCGCAAAGCTGAGCTGCTCATTTCTGCTGGGAAAGGGTACGACAGCCAGAAGTGAAACCCATGTTTAGAGGAATCATCACGAAAAAGTGATTTAATTCTTCCCACCCTGTGTTTATCCACTGAGTTCACCTCTTTGGATGAAATCTCCATGCCTGTGGTGAGCACTACACCTCATCTGTCTGGGTTTCACATGGTTTCAGACCCCTGTGGGGTGCAGCTCTGTGTCAG